ATGGGGGTAGCCGAACGAGTTATGACATTTTGTAATTGTAAAATGGAAGGCCGTCAAAAGCAATGGCAACAACAATAACAATGTGAAAATAGTTGACTCGGTATAATTGTGTTTATCAATCAATGATCCCGAAAGACCAGATAAATATCAGATACAATGTACAGGGCAAAAAAGAGAGAAATAACAATCCTCAAAGAAAGCCCAACACGGTGAAATTGAAAATGTTGCAGGCTCGGTTTGATTAAGCCTGTTCAATGGACGGTAATAGTAAGTGCAAGTTACCGTCCACGCCCACTAGCACCGGCTTAAGCAGAGTTCAACACTTAAAATTAACTGGTAAAGTTAAGAATTTTGTACGGTAGTTTGCATTTGACAGTACCGTCCATGAAAAGGCTCAATCAAACCGAGCAACGTTTTCAATATTGCCGTGTTGGGCTTTCTTTAGGGATTCTTATTTTCTCTATTCTGAGGTAGATTAATTTTGACAAACCGATAATGTCGATGGTCGAAACAGGCTTTATTTTCAGGGTTGCAAGCCGACTAAAAAGGAAAGTAGCTTTATTCACGAACAATAAACAGAAATGTTGGAAAACATATAACTTAATTTAAAATGCATATATTAATCTGTGAATATTTAGTGCAAAAATGAACTAAATATGAGAGTTGTGTTCTTTTTAAAGAGCTTGCACATAATGACATTTACTGTAAACGCTGGCCTCCGTTTGGTTATCCAAAGTTGTACAACATGTCATATTAAAGATTTTGTAAAATAATAACACAGTTTTACCAGAATATTATTACAATCCCCTACTTATATGTGTCAACTGAATCATCGAGCTTGCAATATGTTCAGTTTTGTAGTTGTAGACGTTCTTAAGGGATAACGTTTTACTCTATTTTACAGTTGGAAACAATATAGCCGGAGGTTTGCGTAAGAATTTTTTTTTAAGGATTGAAAAAAAAGTCATTTCCATGGTATCAAGTCCAACCATTTCATATACCCTTAACTCAAAGATCAAAGTAAACAAACAACTAGTGCCACTATATTTAAAATAAATATCAGATATTCCATGCAATGTATTAGCAATAAGTTGTCTTTTATCTAAAAGTGATAGAAAGAACTGAAAACTTGACATTTTCGTACAATAAATCTACACATTGCTTAGCCTAATCAAATTTCCGTACACGTTTGAGAAAATATAAATAACATGTATTTAGTTCGTTTAAGGATCATTGTTTGATTATATATCAGACATGCAATAAGGTAGTTCTCGAGTAGACGTTATGCTAAAATAATGTGACTAATAAATTATGATCAATATTTCACGGGTCATAATGTTGTTGTAATAAAACTGATGTCAAATATTAAAAAGTGCTGCGAGTAACATACACACTGTAGTTTTATATTATAATACCTTACGACCCTCTTTCAAATGTGAAAAATGTGAAGATCCGATGGTGATTAGTTATGTTTTGAAATCAATGCTTTAAGTGAACCATCAAACAGTTATTGTGCTACTACTAGCTGGAGCTCTTTGTTATATCAAAATTTCTTATCTTGTAATATGTATACTTAATTATGATTATTCGTTTTCTTTTAATACGATGTTCTAGTCTGCTTTCCTGTCCGTTTTATTAAAACAAAAACATAACAAAAAAGACAACAAACAGTTCTCCATGACAAACAGAAATATAAAATGAAATAAAGATAAAGATGTTACTCAATCGGAACATAATATTTTATACAATTTCAGCCTACTTTTCTAAATGGAATTGATATTTGGAATTGTGTGTAAATTCGAAACTTTGATGCAAAATAATGCATTGCTTCAGAGAAAGAGTAATACCCATTAAAGGAAAACATCAATGGTAAATCTCTTTGAGATATCATTCATAGTAACCCAGTTAATGAGAAATAAATGTTATTAAAACACACAATGCTTGTATCATGGTCTGTACTTTCATTAATTGGGGAATTGTAACACTCTCATTAAACGCCAATATTTAGGACGTAAATTGGATGTTCTTATATGCTAGATTAAAAACTAGGCTAAAGTCTTGTACAACGTCTTAGATACGTATACGTCTTTCATGTTTATAACAACTTGTGTAAGGAAATTTCAATCTATTTACATAATACGTATTACCCATATGAAAGTGCAAAATGAACAAAGGTGCGAAAGCAACCATAATAATATCCAACAAATGAAAGCGCGTAAATAAATGTTAAATATTATTAAAATGCAAGCCTTGTTTTAATATAATAAAAAACTAAATGAAATTATAGGTCTGTTAAACAACTATATCTACGGTTTGCCAAACAAAACTTGTAGAATAAATCTTACTATTAGATGTATAATCATTTGAGAAAATCGTGTTTCTAATCTTAAAAAAATATTACTTGAATAATGTAATAATTTATAGAAGCTTACACATTAAAGACAATCAAAGTTGACACAGATTTAGAGACTCAATTAAACTCATGATCTAAGTTATTAAATTAAAAAAAAATCTAATTATTTTCAGATTGATTATTATTATTGTTTTGTAAATAAGTTAAGATTTATATAATTCAAAGGCTTTTTCATAATAATTATCAATGATGACAAAAGAGAATACAAGTATTTTTCCTCTAAAGCCTTATTAAAGGAGAAGAAAAACGTACAGTATTTCATTAAAAGACATGTAACATCGTTTTCTTCCGTAAACATTACACACCTTTTTTGTTTCTGCTTTCCGTTAACAACAATTTTAGAACAAAGGCAAAATGTGTCGTACATTTATTAAAAAGAGTTATTCTTCAAAGTTGAAACTATATTTTACCATTCAGAACAGGGGCCAAATATGTTGTATAGTTATTAGAAAAAAGTTATTGGCGTTATGTTGCCATGACACAAAGTAATAATTCAATTTAAAGTGATTTAAAGTGTTACCAATATTTTACATAGGATATTTAAACACAATAGGGTTTTAAAAACTCGTCTATTTTAATCTTTGAGTAAATGTTATATATTATATGTTTAGCGATCTTTGTTGCACATGTTCGATCTTTTTTCATTAACTTGTGTATGCTTATACTGGAAGTTCTTTTACAAGATAATTGTATTCGCTAACATATCATTGTGATTTACATAGCACTTCTTCTGGTTTCTTCACATCTGAACAAGCACCAAAAGTGTGCTTCCTGCATGTCCTGTAATCTGAGATGGCTTTTAATTGTGATCGTCACGGTATTATTGGCATCTGTAGGTTTAATAGGAAATGTTCAATTATTTGTTTGAAAAATGTATCTCTGACTAGTACAGAAAAAAATTGTTTCGTTTTTACAAGAAACGGAAAAATATTGATGCTACGAGTCAAATGTTGATATGACGATTTCAGCATTAATTATTAGTACAAAATAAATTTTATGTTTGATTTGCACGATTGACATCAGCTGCGTTGCATTATAAGGTTTAAAACAATGCATGTATTTTGAAAGGCAATAATCAGTTCTTGCTTAAAAAGACACGCAACATGGTCTTGTGAATTTTATAATGACTTACACATAAGTGGCTTATATAGTAATGTATAGTATTTTTTTAACAAAATATTTTTGAACATAATATTATCATATAAAATTATGTGGTGGACATAATTAAATATAAATAAGCGGATATATGATCGCTTTTCCAAATATAAAAGAGCATATTAAACGCAAAGGCATAGTTCTTAAAACGCTAAAGAATTTAAACATCTTAAAATGCACATCAAATTTTTGATGTGAACACTGATCAATGACCATCAAGAAACTGTAATATTTCTTTTTTTTTAAGTCCGTTGACCTTATAAATGTAATACACAGAAAAGAAACAAGACTTGTAAATCAATCATATAAACAAGGAACATGCAACAATTCTTTATAACTGTAGATGCTAATAAGACATATGTGTGTATCATATGTATTGTTTGAATTATCGAAATGTATCCCGGAGTGCTTTCGACATTTTTTGATATGACGTAAACAACAATGCCGGAAGTGGTCACCGGAAAATTACTAACACTGCTTACTGTTGAAATTGAAATTCTGAAAATGTCAAAGTTTACAGCATTACTTCATTATTCTTTGAATTACATTTACACACTGTCTTTAACTTTATATGTTTAAAATAGTAGGTTTATGTGAAATACGATTTAAGATTGAGTTGAATTGTAAAATCGTTAAGCACTGACAAAAAATTAAAAAGAATACGATTTGTTGGAAACTAATAATGATTTTCCTAATTGAACGGCATAAATGAGGCTTCAGTTAACATAATGACCTTACAAAAAGCATGTCCCACATTTCAGACGATTTGTTTTCAATAGAGGGAACCAATTTTTGTCAACGTTTTGTTTATTTGTATTCAACTTTACAGCACAATTTGGCACATCGACCTGAGATTTTCTAATGTTCTTGTAAATTTAGTCATTTTCAACTGAGGAAATGTATACTTGTTTGTTTTTGTCCGCATTTCAACTTGTGTGTTGCTCTTTTCAATTACGCCATTAATAGGTGGGTCATTGTTTTATTCATGCATATCACCATAGTTAAAATAATTTAGATTCTTTACTCATTTCATAGAAGGTATTATGGTAACTGGGAAAAAAACAACAGAATCATTCATTCATTCATTCATTCATACATGCAAACTATCAAAAATCAGTTGCGAAATATAGATATAAACAAAATGATTAAGCGTAAAAATAAGTGGCTAAGGCAACAATCGAATACCTATTTTTTGCGTTGAATTCATTTTTTTTTATCTCTACCTTATCTTGTAACATTTTTTTAATGTTCCCTTCCTCTTTATCTTTATTTGAAAAAGACAAACACATGCGCGCGCGCACGCACTCACTCACTACTAAAATCCTTTAATCTCGTAGATCTTATTTTTACCAAACCCTTTGCGGGACCCTCATATCTAATGATGTCCTTGATGTTTATCTTTAAAAATGTTGGTCAGTCACGTTACTAAAGTTCAAGTCAGAATACCTTGTATTTTCAACATCTGTGAAAATCACGATTCCTAAGTGATAAGACGGCACCGAGATATGTCACACAATCAGTCGTAATTTGTCGGAAATGTTTCGATTTCTTGTCTTCAGTGTTTTAGTTGGTAAGTTTTACTTTAATGATCATTTATAATTCTATGTATTGATAAAACAGTTGATTAATCAAAGTGATGGCATTACTGCTCTTAACAGCAATTCGTAAATCAACTTTAGGATTATTTTATGGTAAAAAGAATCACAAAATAACAAAGATGCATAAACTTCTTATATATAAAGTGGCATCAAATATTACTTTAATTAGATAAAACATTCCTTTATCACTAAGAATTTAATCATATGTGTGTGTATCCTGTATTACTGAAATAAGACTTATCTGTCTAGTTTCCTATTTTTGAACTGTTCATAATCAATTTTAAGAGTAAAACATTAAAAACAATGAACTTGGCAAACATTGAAGAGCATGGTCCAATTGAACATATGTGAGGGCTTAGCTTCGGTTCTAGTCTGCCGATTTTTTATGTGCTTTTGTTCTTCAAATCGATATTATCAAAACACGAACGAGTAAGAAATAGCGCGTATGATATGAATAAGCAAAAAATATCAAAACCTGAATCTCAGGCTAGTGGCGACTGAACTGGCGCTATACTGGTAGAAAAGACTAACCAGTGTTGGTTCTAGCAGGGTTTGGGTGCAGTTGATTATTATATTCTTAAAGTTATATGGCTATCAAACTGGACGTATGCTTTACTAAAAGAAAATATTGAATGAGTGTTAATTTAATACTGAATTTATTGAGCCTCTGGTGAACACAATATTATTCAACGAGTTCAATAAATTCAGTAATGAACTGTCACGAATTTTATATTCTATTTATCACATACCAAAAACAAAGACCGTTTAAAGTGAAAAATAGACCATTTTATTGGCGTGCCTATAATATATGTGATAAAGAAAATTTGTATCATTATGTTTATTTGGGTGATAAAGAATAATTATTATATTAATTATATTACATTTGAGTAAACGCTAAGAACCCGAAGGTCCTGCAAAAAATGTGTGAGGTATTGGTAATTCGAGAGAACCGATGTTGAAGGATTATCATGTATCACACTTAACGCGGACAGAAATATGAAGGTTATCCAGGTTATATCTATTTTATAATAGTATATTTAAAAGTAACAATACTATCAAAACAAACAAATCACAAAGCAAATATCAGCTATATTTGAGTATTGTCTCCTTTAAAACAGCTTAAACTATTCAGTGATTTAATGAAGTCCCTACTAAATCACAGGGATTACACGTGTATTCCTCGACACATTTCGGGATAGGGATATATTGAAATCTCTAAAATTTCATGGACTAAGCCAAAACCCTGTTCTCACACTATACCTTTAACATGCAAACAAGAAAAACAAACACAGCGTGTGTTAAATGAGTTTTAAATTAAAACTCTAAGTCTGGTTATAGCGATTATAACAGACAGCTTGATAAAAGACCAAATATAATTTCTCAGCCTCTTGCTAGGAAATTAGCTTTTTCACAGCCAGCCTCTATATTTCTATAAAATTTTATAAAACTTAAAAAGATTAAAAGAAGAAAGAAAAAGAAAAACAGAATGAAAGACAATGAAGTAAACCCAGCAATGTTATGATGTTTTAGAACCTTATGGTCGTTTTTTGAAAGATTTGTTTCCATAAAATGTCTATGTAATTTAATATACATGACTATTATAGGTTCACAGAATAAAATGTTCAGAAACAAAATATTCTACTGCTATTTTAGATAGGTTTGCCGATGAATACTCGCTTTAAATAATAGACACTGACACACTTTTTTATGGAAGGGATTATCCGCCATTTCACCTATTATGCTTTATGACATTCCAATTTCCATTTTTACTTTTGAGATAGTGAATTTGATGTTAGATTTTGGTTATTTTCAAGACTAAGTGTATTTCGTATCTTTATAATTATAAAGGTATTTTGAAATATATCTTTGTTATACGTAAATTTTATTTTTATACTTTTTATTTTTTTCTTGTTTTATTCTGAAAATTGGTATGATTTCCCTTAAAATATATTTAATACATTTCAATTCAAAATCACACATTAAAATCAACATTAGGTATTCAGTGTATGGACGCTTCCGAATATGTGTTAATTCATTTGTAATGAAATGTTCAACATTTGATCAAAACATCATTCGCAGTATAACATACTGTTTAACATTGACTTATTAAAATAAAGTCGTCTTCATAACAATGTTGACGTTATCAAAAAACGAAGCGGGGAACCAATTTTTTTCGTAGTGCGTTTTCTTACGACAGAGGTCGCTGTTTAATACTAACTGATCCCTTTCGGTGCGGACGTAAAAATCACCTCATGGAAAAGATCCGATCAAACATCGTGATACCCTGCCTTGAAAAAAAGCTTTTACTAGCTCTATATACAACAACAACGAACATGTTCTCTCTTGCAAAATGCGCAACATATCAGTTTTATTCTTTAAATCAACTCATTTTTGAAGATCTTTCAGAAAAAGTAAGCATGTGACATAGTCTGTATGCGGCGGATTTTGAGATAATTTGCCTCAAACTTGGCCTTTTCACTATACGTTATATATAGGGGGAAATATTTGGTAGTCATTAACCTCCACATGATCGGATTAGTTTTCGTCGTATCAGATTTGTGAACACCGGTCATGGAGTGGTTATTATTTTTTACATTTTTACCAGTTGTTCCCCGTTGATTAAAAGGGTCAATTCTAGCGCAAAAACCTAATTAATTTTTAATTATACTTCGAAACTCTTAGTGTGCTATGCAAACAGCTGTTTCGAATTATTTTTAGAAAGCAAATTCAAATAAAGAAAAAAATAATTGAAAGCCAGCAAATTAAATATCTTATTATAGTTTGCATGTTTACAGCCTTAGAACTGAAGTGTAAATTGAATGTTCGCATATTTCAATTATTATAAGAACTCAGAGTTACGTCAGCAAGTACAACATCTTAATATTGCATAATGATTACAACGTATTACTAATAATGTCTTCATATTGATAACAATGTTTTCATGACAATAATAATGTCTTCTTATCAATAAGAATGTCTCCAAAATAATAAGAATGTCTTCATATTAATTACAATGTATTCATATTAATTAAGAGTGGCGGTAATCCCTTCCATATTCTTTCATTCTACGTTTTTTTTTTGTCATTAAGATCACAAGTGAAACAATGATTTTACAATTCACTTACTGAAAACATAAAGCTTTATACATTGATTTTATACTTTTAATATCACATACTTTCAGTATCAGCACTGGCGGTGTCAATTCACAAGAGACTTCCCTACTGCGACACCGACTCTGATTGTCCTTTATGTACCAGCTATGACTATGGGTGTGTAGACAATAAATGTTTTTGTGATGACTACTTTGCTAATTATGGTGCAAGTGGAAGTAAGTGGATTTTCTGTTCTAAATTAATAATTTAAGAAAACCGTTCCCTTTATAGTTTTAAAGAAAATGTTGTTTTAGAGTTAAATATAAACCTAAGACATACTATTAATGGGTCATGCAACTATACCGACCAGAAAAGCGTTATTATGTTCAATTAACACAGCCGATCGGAAAGCGTAGTTATTAAAGCATATTACAACATGTCCGAGTGTATAAACGGAAACACCATTGCACGATCTTTACAAAACGAATACTATCACATGTTTATACATGTATGTACATCTGGCATCAAATATGTAGAAAAGTTTATTGTTAAATAATCAAAATTTTAAGTGAGTTTAACATTGCAACATATTTTATAAGATGAGAAGATGAACGCCGTGTACACAAGTTTTCACCATCCCACCTTTTCAGGCGTTATTTTACTACCCAGCAATAAGGCGGCTTCCAACCCAATGTAGAAGCTTAGTTTCATGGAGCATCTCTATTCCATTTTTTGTTCGTTTAATACTCTTCTTTTAAGGTCTTATTTTGATTTAAGCAAGCAGAATTATTAACAAAAAAGAAAAGATCAAAATGACGCGAATCATGTCCATATCGTTCAACAATTTTTAGTCCGACTATTCGAAGAATATGAGAGCTATTGTAGTCGCCAAGGCGTTGGTTAAAGTTTTTTGTAAAGTCAAATATCTCAATTATCGATTGAGATATTCAATTAAACTTACAATACTTATTTATAGTAGCAAGGTACATCAGATTGGATGTTGGATAACTCTGCCTACAATATTGACATAATTATGTCCCTTTTTATACGCCCGTTTGAAAAACGGGACGTATTATGGGAACGCCTCTGGCGGGCGGGCGGTCGGGCGGGCGGGCGGCGTCCAATTTTGTCTGGAGCATATCTCCTACATGTATGGAGGGATTTTAATGAAATTTCATAGAAATGTTCACCACTATGAGGAGCAGTGTCGCCCTCATGAACCAGGTCTCTAGGTTAAAGGTCAAGGTCACACTTAGAGCTCATTGAAAAATGCTTGTCCGGAGCAAAACTTCCACATGTATAGAGGGATTTCAATATTTCTTGGCACAAATGTTCACCATTGTGAGGCGGAGTGTCGCGCGCAAGATTCAGGTCCTTGCGGCCAAGGTCAAGGTCACACATAGAGGTCAATGTTTAGATAAAAATATGAAGATGTGTATATGGACCATTTAGTCATCATTTATTGAAGGATTGTAACACAAATGGTCATTATCAAGACTATGGCTGTGATACATATAATTTAGGTCAATATATATAAGGTCAAGGTCACTAAAGATGATGAAATATCCAGATTTTATCCGGAGCATATCTCCTACACGCATGGAGGGATTTTAATGAAATTTCATAGAAATGTTCACCATTATGAGAAGCCATGTCACGCACATGAACTAGGCCTCTAGGTCAAAGGTCAAGGTCACACTTAGAGCTCATTAAAAAACGCTTGTCCGGAGCAAAACTTCCACATGCATAGAGGGATTTCAATATAACTTGGCACAAATGTTCACCATTTTGAGGCGGAGTGTCGCGCACAAAATTCAGGTCCCTGCAGCCAAGGTCAAGGTCACACATAGAGGTCAAAGTTTAGATAAAAATATGAAGATGTGTATAGGGACGATTTAATCATCATTTATTGAGGGATTGTAACACAAATGGTCATTATCATGACTACGGCTGTGACACATGTACTTTAGGTCAATATATGCAAGGCCAAGGTTACTAAAGATGGTGAAATATCCAGATTTTGTCTGGAGCATATCTCCTACATGTATGGAAGAATGTTTATAATACTTTATGGAAATGTTCACCACCATGATATGTATTGCTCCATGCATGATCCAGGTCTCCAGGTCAAAGTCACACTTAGAGCTCATTGAAAAACTCTTGTCCGGAGCAAAACTTCTACATTCATAGGGGGATTTCAATATAACTTGGCATAAATGTTCACCAATGTGAGGCTGAGTGTCGCACGCAAAATTCAGATCCCTGCGACCAAAGTCAAGGTCAAAGTTCAGATAAAAATTTGAAGATGTGTATAGGGACCATTTAGTCATCATTTATTGATGGATTGTAGCACAAATGGTAACTATCATGACTACAGGTGTGACACATTTAATTAAGGTTAATATTTGCAAGGTCAAGGTCACTGGAGATGATTAAATATCCAGATGTTGTCCGGAACATATTTTCCACATGCATGGAGGAATTTTAATGTTACTTTATAGAATTGTTCACCACCATGAGACGTAGTGCCCTGCACATGAACCAAGTCCTTAGGTCAAAGGTGAAGGTCACAGTTAGAGCTCATAGTAAAACGCTTGTCTGGAGCAAAACTTCTACATGCATAGAGGGATTTCAATATAATTTGGCACAAATGTTAATCATTGTGAGGCTGAGTGCCGTGCATAAAATTCAGGTCCCTGCGACCAAGGTCAAGGTCACACATCCTGTGCATATCTTCCCTACTGATTTGTTTTAAGGTTCATTTAACAACACAGTGCCAAGAATAAAAACTTGCTTGCTAGATAACACTTATCCATAATGCCCTAATCTCCATCTAAAGCTTTCGTAAACGGGCGTATTTTGTGACTATGGCACCCTTGTTAACTTAGAAATTTTGGTCAAAGTTTTTTGTAAAGTCAAATATCTCAATTATTGCTTGAGATATTCAATTGAAACCTACAATACTTTATAGCAACAATGTGCATCAGATTGACAAGTCGGATAACTCTGCCTACAATATTTACAGAACTATGCCCCTTTTTAACTTAGAAATTTTGGTTAATTTTTTTGTATAGTCAAATACCTCAATTATTGCTTGAGATATTGAAATTTACAATACTTTTTCATAGTAACAATGTACATCAGTTTGCAAAACTGCATAACTCTGCCTGTAATATTTGCAGAATTATTTGCCCCTTTTTAACTTAGAAATTTTGGTTAAAGGTCTTCAAAAATATTTACTTGAAACTTTACACATGTACTTGGGGTCATAATTGGAGGGTCATAATTGTATGTCACTGACCAAGTTCCATAACTCTACCTTGCATTTAGGCTGATTAATCTCCCCATTTCTACTTAGTCTCTTGGTTAATGTTTACCTGCAAGTTTTACATATCTCAATAACTATTAAAGATATTTATTTAAAACTTCACATATGCATTTAGGGTCATAATTGTAGGTCACTGACCAAAATCCATAATTCTGTCTTGCATTTAGGCTGATTTTTCTCCCCTTTTTCAACTTAGAAATCCATGGTAAAGTTTTGCTTGTAAGCTGTTATCTCCATAACTACTGAAGGATTTGTGCCTTTTTTGGGACAATTTTATGCATTCATAATAATAAAGCATTGATTTACTTGATAAAACATCCTAATAACAAACATTTGTACCTTTTCGATCAATTTTATGTATTCATAGGTAATTAGCATTATTATACTCAATAAAACACCCTTGTGACAACTTTTTCGAATAGTCGAGCCAATACTGTCCTCCGACAGTTCTTGTAATCTGTAAGATACATTAATAAGGGCAACCAAATAATTTCCCCTAATTTTAATGTCCGTAAGTATTTACAACATAGGTTGCACTACCAGTTATTATATGCCCTACCAGTTATTATATTCCTATGAGTCAACAATCTCCGATTATAAATATTTGATATCCATGTGAATTTCTTTAACTGAAATTACCACGAGTCCCCATGAGTCCCAAGCATTAAGATATATGTAGCAGTTTTAAACATAAAATTATAGATTTTATATTTGAGAAATAACTATACCCTTTGTTATACGATGTGATAAGATCTTGATATAACATAAGCTGTTATACATGACAGTGTATTTCTGAATGTCCGACTTAGATTTTACATACTAAGTATTCATTTGACTTTCAGACGATATATACGCATATACTATATATATTTAAGCTGCATGCCTCTAGATGAGCCAAAATATTTCAAGAAAATCAAAGTTGAATGAAAATGAGCTAAGATTATTTACATGTAATGTGACATTTATGTCTCATTCTCGCTGACTAAACATGAATAAGTCTTTATTTATCAGGTGTGATATCATTTTACATTACACAATCTGTTTACAGAGAGGCAAGTAGAATCATGTAAGACAGATGTAGATTGCGCAGGTCACACATGTCACCATGGAGCCCCTCACTGTGAGATTCATGATCCTAACATGGAACATGGACATTGTAACTGTCACGTCCCACATAGTAAGTGTTTATTTTACGAATATGTAATTTACCTTGTTTTGCTTAAGGTCTCTACATTATAAACAGGCATTTATTCATCATTTTCTCAATATTTTTTGACAGGACTGATTTTGTGAATTTGGCCCTCGATAAGATGCTAGAGGCATTTTGTTGTTACTGTACAAGTGGTATCTTGGTATTTTGTTACCTACTTAAGTTATGCTGAATTCGATAAAGGTGAATACCAAACATAAAATATGAAAAACAAGATCAACAAGGAAAGGCGGCGTTCAATGAACGCAACCCCCATATGACCCAGCAACAAGAACCAATGGCAAGGAGCCCAGGCGGACCCCAAACATAAAAAGGACAGGGCAACGACACGTTAATCATTAAATGATAAATAATTTGTAACTGATTAGGAATTCAAAGAAAATAATAATAGGCCCACAAAGGGGAAGGGGACAGGAGACCGGGGGAAGGGGGGGGGTAATCAAAGAAATAAAAACTAGAGGCAATGGGGAAGATACTTACCGTAGACGAGAAAACAACAAGGGACACAAGCAAAAGTGTCACCAAAACAGTATGAAACAACATAGACATACATCTGAGAAACACAGTGGGGCGCCGCCTTGGAACGGTCAGCAGCATAATAATGACTGCTGGGGAGTTTAAACCGGTTAATGGTGCACCAAACCTCGCTCTTAGTCCCACCATGTTCCTATAAACGAGACAGTGTAAATAAAATGAATCCCCGCCAAGTGAAATTCTAACAGTTGTCATGGTTACAAAAGGTTAAATAAGTAAAACACTAAAATGATCATGTAGAAACATATAAAAGTAAACCCAATGACCATGACAAAAGTACTCAATGTCCTAAAGGAAGACAGAGCAACAAGAAAATCACCTACAAGGGCCCGATGAAGCAAGGCAGAAGACGAACATTAAGACAATTCAGTCCCAAAGGGCTTTACGAACTATCCATCATAGAGTCTCCCACTTGGTCCGTCAGATGCAATCAAAAGAGGAAAGCGTAGTGTCCAACTGTAAAAGGGTTGAACACTAAACATGCAGTATGTCTTAAAATAGTAGGGTCATAACCTCTTTTAATAAAACGTTTAATGATTTTAGTAAAAACAGCAGAAAAATTACCATGACCCAAAATCTTACGAAGTTTGTAAACCACATCGCCATAAAAACCAGGCTTATCTTGACCATTTAAAAGTCATTTATAGTGAACAGTAAAATTACCGCCAAATTTCTTTATCATAATTGGAGGATATATCAAAATGAAACTTTTAAAGATAGGAAAAGCCTTGAAATTTGTCACAAAGCATGTTTAGGTAAAACAAATTAGACACAAAAACCCCAATCCATCGTTGATTTAATTTTGCTTCACTAAAGGTTTTCTTATTCCTGTCAAACAACCCTATCCACCCATGCATGCTATTAAATCTAATCAGATGTAAGTGAATGAGGCTTCGTCTTGAGACCCCGGCATCATCTAAATAAATATCTACAGATCTTTTAACTTAACTTCAGGGACATCAAGGGGATTATATTTTGATCCCAATTAAAAGGTCCTATCCAGCGACTTAAAACTTTTTTATTTCGTGACAGATAAGGAACAACATTAGGGAAAAGCTGGCTGTGTTACAATGATGTCAATTAGTGTTTGTTTTCATAATGGTATTGTTAAAAAGCCAAAGGATCCAAGCATGCTCCACAAATAACAAGACCATTATGAAAACTTTTCATAATTGACAATTTTAAAAATGAAAAAATGGCATTGGATTTTTCAGTGTGTATCGTTAGCTTCATAATGGCTATATCAAACAGTTCAGAATGTCTGAATCTTATAAAAGACGACTTTTCTCGTAATGGATGTTCAGGCCTCGACATTAGCGGTGGTCCGTTGGTCCGAGACCACTTGATTTTGGCAAGGACCACCTAATTTTAAAACCCACTGGTCCGTCGGACCACTTGAATTTTCTGGTTGATGCAATGCTCATTTGGGAGAATGGCAATTTGGTCAAAAACATGTTATATAATTTTGTTTAAAATCTATGCACGATGTACATGTATATGGTTCATTAATCTCTGATTAGTTAAAAAAGTTCTTAAGTCATCAATAACTTTCATTTAAGTCGCTAAAATTTTGTTTATGCAAGTTAAAAGAGTTAAGAGTTTATGATATAAATTTAGGTACAAAATTCATTCAAATGGTGCTAGTAATTATGCATCGTCTGATAACCACGGCGGAACCATTAACATGTTATGTTATGTTACATGTTAATCAACCATGAGTATCTGATGATGGTAATTATATGATATCGGATAAACTTAAATTTCAGATACTTGAATAACGGCAGCAAACGAAAGGAACTGGAAAAAATACATCTAGTAATTCTATGCTATTTATCTTTATTTTAACTGTTTAACGATGAGAGATCTGCTTCTTCTAGAGTTAAAATTATTTTAAAAGGTTAAAAATACCCAATGTCAAAAATAAATAGCAACCAACAAGAAACAGGGAGGTAAATTTCTGTATTATAAATCTGTGAGAAAAATAAGATAAGTTATAGTAAATAATAACGTTGTAATTATTTAAACAATTTGGATATTTCCTTGTTTTCAAAGACAAAAATAAGATAATTTATTAGTTCCATTAAAAATGTTAATCTGTAAAAGATGCTATGTTATTATCATGATTATAAGACGTACCGCGTATCAGCAATGAATATTTGAATAACAGTAAGAAAATAACAGACACAAATGGCTTCACTATTCCCTAACTTGAGTTGAGAGAGAAATCACTTTAATATAAAAGTTAACATAAATAAAAGCTCTGTTGTGTATTTTTGACTGAGATAAAACCAAATAAGCAAATAACTCTACGATAAAATACCTACTGACTTGCTCTCCCTTTTCTGATTAGATGAAAAATATATATCTAAAAATATCTGTTTTCTTTAAAGATTAATAATACATCTTTGTCATAAAGTTTAAACATTTTTTTCTACATTTGCAGTAAAAAGATATAATAATGATAACTGACCACCTGACTTCTGGAAGGACCACCTAACTTTCAAATCTAGTGGTCCGGCGTACCACCTGCTAAAAAAGTTAGTGTCGAGGCCTGATGTTTATTCCATAATGACCGAACATTATATCCATAATGTCACGGTGAAAAGTATCAGCTCTGCATCGGAAGTGGTAATGTACTCAATATTGCACAGTTAATAAAAAAGAGAGCCAAGATGGCCCTAGATCGTTCACCTGACCCATCGAACTCATCCGAACAATTACCTAGACAAGCATTCTGACCAAGTTTCAAGCCCGGTGAGTCAAAAATGTGACCACTAGAGTGTCTAAAAAGATTATCCGTATTTGAGCAGTGTGACCTAGTTTTTGACCCAAGGTGAACCATATTCAAAATTGACCTAGAAATCATCAAAACAAACTTTCAGACCAAATTCCAGGATACTTGGCACAAAAACAGTAGCCACTAGAGTGTTAACAAGATTTTTCCATATTTGGGCGGTGTGACCTAGTTTTTCATCCGAGATGACCTATGTTCGAACTTATTCGAGTAATTACCTAGACAAGCATCCTGACCAAGTTTGATGATAATTTAGTCCAAAAACTGTGTCCACTAGAGTGTTAACAAGGCTTTTCCATATTTGGGCGGTGTGACTTTTTTGGCATTTTCTAGTTTCTAGGGTGGTTCCAATATTCCTACTTGAATAATGTTGAATCACCCTTAGGATATGTTGCCTGCTTTTTAGTCCCCTACCGGTTTAACCGGAGGGGACTTTAGGTTTACACTCCGTCCGTCTGTCTGTCCGTCTGTCTGTCTGTCAGTCCGTCAGTCCGTCCGTCCACAAAACTGGATCCCGCGATAACGCAAAAAGTACTGAAAATATTTTTATGAAACTTGATATATGGATAGATGGCAGTATGGAGATTATGCACGTCTTTTTTTTTCTTCCTATGTTGAAAATTCTGGTTGCTATGGCAACAAATAGTCTGAAAATATGGCAATTTTAACACATAAACTGGATCCAGTGATAACTCAAAAAGTACTGAAAATATTTTTATGAAACTTGAAATATGGGTAGATGGCAGTCTGGAGATTATGCACATCTTTTTCTTTTCTTCCTATGTTGAAAATTCTGGTTGCTATGGCAACAAATAGCCTGAATTTCAAGATTTCTGATTTAAATTTTTCAGCTTTTTCACTATATGTTCTTTATTTCTTAAGGTGTTTACTTCAAACTTTAAATATAAGTTTCTGGTCATCAACCACATCATATGTGACAAGGTTTCATAACTCTAGCACAAAAAATATCAGTATTACCTCCCTTGAACTTAGATTTTTTAGGGGAAAAAATGTTGTCTTTTTTAAATAACTTCTTTATTTCCTAATGTATCTACTTCAAACTTCATATATATGTTTCTTATTATCACTCGACATTTTTGAGAAGGTTAAATACTCTAGCAAGACTATTTCCAGAATTATGTCCCCCTTTAACTTAGATTTTTTTCGAGAAACTGGTATTTTCACTCCAACTTCTTCATTCCTTATAGGATTTACTTTAAAATCCCACATCGTAATAATATGACAAGGTTGTATAAACATAATTTCCTTACTAAGCATGGAAACTTAACACATTACTGTGATATAGACAAACTTATTTTATTATGTTTTGTGGTTGATATTTTCAAATACAGACTTCATCCTCAAATTCATTATAAATGGCAATACACAGGAGTGTATGACAATTAAAGAACTTTTTGAGGGACCGGTAGGGGACTACTGTATTGCCCGCAATACTATCAAATGCTTGTTAAATTTGTCTTTTGACGTCTTATCTGTGATACGCAGGCTTCATAACCTCTGATCCCCTTTCAAAATTCCATTTTATTTAGTTCCGCCCATTGTTTTCTCGTTTAGGGCACACGCTTTTTATTACTTGGGGACCATACGCCGCTTTTCATTGAATGGCACGGAAGTGTCACATTGAAGGTTCCATGATAACCGCCGTATGAACACATCTGCGGATGTTTCTAAATTCAAAATTTTACTATTTCACGTTTAAATGTTGAATTCTGCTTAAGCCGGTGCTAGGGGGCGTGGACGGTAAGTTGCCCTTTCCAGTACCGTCCATGAACAGGCTCAATCAAACCGAGCCTGCAACATTTTCAATTTTGCCGTGTTGGGCTTTCTTTAGGGATTCTGTATTTATCTATTTTAGTTATTGACCCAAGGTGACCCAAGTAGCCACTAGAGTGTAAACAAGGGTTTTCTATTTTTAGCTCCTGTGACCTAGCTTTTTTATCCGAGATGAGACATGAACTCATCTCAGCAATTACCTAGTCAAGCATGCTGACAAAGTCTGATGGAAATTGAGGCATTAAATGTGACCAACACACAACTACTGCTACATGAAAATTCTATGTACATACTTACCAAATTCAAATGAAAGAAAGTTTTGCTTTGTATTATCACACTCGTGTGATAATTCATTTAAATTCAAATAAAGGTGTTTGACTTTTCAGTTAAATATATCATATTTGCATAGGTTTGTTTTCCAAATATTTTCTAAATTCTTATTATTACACAAAATAGGTAGGCTTTTGCAATTTTAAAATGAGACAATAGAAAGTAATCAGAAGTCATCATGATTGCTCGTGTAAAAATAATGTTATTCAGTCAATCCCTGAAGAAAAGTGGAGTAATCCAATGTAGCTATTAAAGGTAAGAAAACAATCACTTTCTCTTTTTTTAAAATAATTTGCCCAAGGTCTGATTATCGTTAGTAAAACTATACCACTAGGCAAACATTTATTATTCAAACACCGCTTTTCTTCATTCCGTATCATTACTCCCAATAACCTCCCTTAAAATACTCTTCCCTCACCACCATTACTTACTGGGACATAGCCCTTCCTATAACTACCACTACCACAAACACCACTATCACTAACTGGTAAAGACAGAACCTAAGTCCCCAAGACACTCGGCATCAACGGCAACATTATTTAATCTGAGAGTGCGCTTCCCATACAAAACGTATTTACACATAGACACATAATAAATGGGCAGAGTATGATATTATACGATAATCTACATTCCTTTTCTGCATGTATTACCCAAAAATATGAACAAGTAGTCCTGTTTGTATTGACAGACCGATGATTTGGCTTCTTGGATAGTGCTGAGATCACTTATGTTAATTTTAAGACACTCATAATAGTCCAAACCTTACTTGTGATAAAACAAGCCACGCTAATAAATGCTAACGAGCAAACAAAAACAGGTTTTCGATTGAATTTCAGCTGGTTCTCGTGGGATTTGAAAATGAAAGCGTTACAGTTGCGTTTGTCATTGAATTTCCAAAGCTTAAAGTACCAATAGTTGTGACCAACCTATGTTCAAAGTCAAATGATACGCCCATAGCCTTATTGTTCCGCAGTAAAATCATTTACCTAGCTGTTTTGTCATGGATGGTGACATACAATTCACAAGATTCGACCATTTCTCCCTGAACACCGCCTGCCATAAGCCATTCAAAACGCATGATTTAATGTCACATGATAACAAATTGAAAGGCACAAAAACCTCAAAAAAGGGCGCCTACGGAGCACGCCATGTTTTTTATCGGATTAGCTTCATATAGAATTAAACTACTTTCGCCATATGCAAACCTCGAAGCCAGTGTGTGTGCCTCTACAGTGTTAACAATATAAGGAATATTTCACTTAAAAGAACGAACATCAGCTCTATTGTTCAGAAATGAGGTTTTATACGATTTTTGGACGGTAACTTGCACTTTCCAGTACCGTCCATGAACAGGCTCAATCAAACCGAGCCTGCAACATTTTCAATTTTGTTGTGTTGGACTTTCTTTAGGAATTCTGTTTTTCTCTATTATTTTTTTTCGAAAACCCGGCTTAACGGCGATTTCTAGCTTTTTTAGAAATGGTCATACTTGAATTTATTTCTATCTGCCCGTGATCGTTTTAATTTTTAACACCGGCATAGCCTTGACACATTCTGGAGCAGTAAAAAGATAAGAATAGATATGTTTTAAAACAACATATTAAAAGACTAAACTACTTAACCAAGCCAATGCTTCAGACTGTGAAAAAACTGCCATGCGTACATATAAACAAATGGGCACTCAATTCATGAGTGTGATGTGAAATATACATATGAGATCATATTGAGAGCTTTCTTGCATAACACAGTATCTGAAAAATTCATTCACTAGGAATTTAAATTTGATATTTGTTTTAATAACGAAATGTAGTTTTACCTTAAATGATAATAATAATCATGCGTTGCGAAATAAAAACATACATATGACATTTATGACCTCGTTTTGGGGCGAATTAAACGTGTTAACCTTATATTACTGGAAATTTGTTATAAAGTGAACTAAATAATTGTATTACCTGAGGGAATATTTAAAAATAATCATTTTATCTTGACAAGAATAATTTATTGCATCATATAGTATCATAGTTTTAATGACCTATTTAGTATTTTCTAGCGGCCATTTTGAATTGTCGTTTCGAAAGTCAAGGTCAATTTAATTGAGTTTTCTGTGAATCCACCCTGACCGTTTTCAGTAGACCCGTATAAGGTTAAAACACTCAATGTACCACTTGTACTATAAAATGCCTCTTGAAATCATATTTTCTTAAAATCAGTCCTGTCATTTATTTTAATGACGTCAAAACGCCCAAAGTGCAAGTGAATGTAAAAACACGTGGATTGTCAATTACCCTATATGTGGTATGGTTAAATGAAAAATGAAACACCTTCTTTCTTGTAAAGTCATCTTTGATTCATATCATGTTAGCTTCAGGCAACCTTCTTATAATTATATAAATAAAGGGTCGTTTTATGTTTTTGACTTTATTAAAACGCACTGCAACAAAAAAGGAGCATTCAATATAAATTCAGCGTACTAGTATTAAACAAGTTAACAACTTATATTTACAGTAATCAATATATGTTGCTGAACTATTTGCAATATCACTTTGAGGATTTAACGATACAATAACTAAATGTTATTACACATACAGTTTTCGTCAAAAGTACATTAATAAGTACACAGTAATCACGTATATATATATATATATAACGATTTTTTGTTTTCAGAGAGACAAGCAGAATCATGTAAGACGGATGTAGATTGCGCAAGTCACACATGTCATCATGGAGCCCCTCACTGTGAGATTCATGATCCTAACATGGAACATGGACATTGTAACTGTCACGTCCCACATTAACGTCCCACATGCTAATTCTTTCCATACGTACCTTAATTTTGCAAGATCATACATCTATTAAAGGAATCTGGCTTACACACATGTGTCTATTGAATGATTTATACAATAATATGTTTTTATTCTACAATAAGTTTTACCAGTTTGAAAGCTTATTAAATGTGGATCGACTAGTTTATGTAAAAAGTCAATACCAGTGAGTTTAAATGTTATCAATCAACAAATTGTTTTACTTAAATTACTAGCACTCCTATGCTAGGTCGATGAATATTTGTCAGGTAGCACGTTCTCATTATTGACAACTCAATTATGTAATCCAACCGTACTTCTGGAATATTCAAAATAATTAAAATGAAAGTTTCGTCACGAGGCACATTTAGATTTTAATTAAGCGAAAATGTATACGGCACATACATGTGTAACGACAACCGTGTGAAGCAAATAGTATTCCGAAAAATACTGTATGTAAACTAGCCAAGGCGTTTTAGACTGAATTAAATTTTTCTGTAAAAACGATCAGTATTTATAAAAAAATAATATATTCACGAATGAAATATTTCAGGAAACGATATAGAAAAAATACGATTTCCAAACCTTTGACATAATCTGTCTGGAAGAAATGATTTTCTAAACGGATATACAAACTACATAGGAGTTATATTACAACTGACCTCGTTTGTAACTGAACATTAATTCAAACACGCCTTGCAAACAGATAGGACAATCAAATGCATTATTTCACGATATATGCACAGCATACAAACAAATGCTTCCTCAATAAACCAAATGACGTCAGGAAAATTAAAATGTAGTTCAACATATTTTGATCAATTAGCTTGTTAGAATGGAAAAAAGATATTAACTTTTCTTGCATTATAGTTTTATAATGTACGGTTTATCAAATGCTGAGTAATTAATCACTCGGGTCTATATTGGCCTTCATGATTATTTGAACTACAGAACAGACATGTATTTTAGACTTGTACATAGGACATCGCCATGGAAAAAGATAAACAAAACAATTATCGCGTCACTTGGTCACAAAATACAATGTTATACTTAATCAGGTAATACAACATACATTTGTTTACAAAGAGAATGTTATATAAAATAACATTGAAAGAACTACGACATGACCAAGACACAACGGCAAACTGTTTCGGGCACATAAGTGGAGAAAGGAGCGGAATTTGATCATATACGGGATGAACTCATAAGCAATGATTACCTTAATCGATATATATATATATATATAATATATATATATATATATATATATATAAGAAGGAATTGTCTAAAACATATATCTAATATAATTGTTCATATAAATCAGTATGCATGCAAGTTTTGCATTTTTCTGAAAAATTATCATGTTTAAGTATGACATTGAAGAGAGAGTTGCAATAATGATTAAAGGCACATTGTGCCTCTGAAATGAAAAAAAGTTCCCTCTAAGAAAAAGTCAAATTTTAGTTTGAAGATGTTTACATTATGGTTTTAGAGCATGTTAGATACTTATCACCTGAAGAAAGTAGCACTGAATATGAAATTATTTTTCATAAGAGTAGCCAAATAACAACAAAGTAATATTTTTACTTCCATACAAAGTACCATATCACTATAACTATACAAATCGAAGGATGTTTCAGGAGTAAAATTTTTGAAACTAAAAGAGAACACCCAAAATAAAAAGATTTTGAAAAAAATAAAGCATTTCTAGGTTATAATGGGCCTTTAAGACATGAAGACAATGAATGTAATGACAATAGCATCTCATTTGGGTATCTAAGTGTTTATTCCCGACAAGCAGACGCTTAATTTTGTTTTTTGCTGTTGTTATCTCGGCAACTCGTGCTATTTCTAAAACAAAAATGCACAAATATGAAAAACAACGATAATTATATATTGAATAATATCTTGTCGGTCTCTTTTGTTTCTCAAATTGTCTCTTTAAGGGCTTATTAGGACAGCAGCAAAAGGTCTGGTAAAAAAACAACAACAAAAATCACGTTTTTGAAAATTAGGAAAGATGATTCAGCTGTTGTGACATAGAATGAACCACTTTATATAGTAAACGAATCCACCTCAGGATACCATTGTCACAAATATATGAATCTTTGCTATCGGTTATTCATTCTAAGTAACCATGCTAATAGACTGAATCCGGTAGAGAGAAGAGTAAAATGCAAAAACCCTCCTGCCCTCCCCTGCGCCGGTTTAAGCGGTATTTAATCGACAATTCGAATTGTTACGTGGTTGATGTGATAATTTTCTACACCCTATCTTAAGCACCACTAAAAGTTGATAAATGTAAACCATTAAACAAATTCCACAAAGGTCATTTGTGTCAGCTTGATTCTTTGATTACGTTTAAATTACAGTCTGCCCAAATAGATACACGTCTTATTACAATTTACGTCACTATTCTGCTTTGCGAAGTATTACACTGTCTGAGAAATGGAACTAAACTAATATATGTAAGCATGTTTGTATACATAAGTGTCTCACAATTTTCTGTTTGTAGCTGCTCAACTGCTATAAGTTATTTCTTTAATAAATATAAGATCATTTGAAAATTGTATATATTATCACAGTTTTATTTAGTTTTATTATAGTCACATTAAACATATCTTTTGAAAATGTTTATGTAAAGAAGTATTTTAAAATACTATTACTGAATGGAATATGGAAAAAAGTCTATTAACACATACAGAGAAACAATAACGACATTGTGTTTGTTTTCATTAGCAAGCTACTATATTGACACATTCTGACCTAATTTGTAGAACTAGTGTCAAATCAATGTCACCAAAAGTCGTTAATTAAATATTCGTACACTTCTCATGTCTAAGTTTTAGAGAAAAATCTTATTCTCCGGACAGAGAATATACTAAGTTTGCGTAGCGGAATAACTATTTTGAAATTTTTCACTGACAAAAGAAATATTGGTTCGTATGACCTTAACGGTCCAATGTAAAATGTAAATTTTATAAAAAATAGTCTTTTTAATTAATTTGTAGTTTTAGCACCTTTCAAATATTGACAACAATGTGCACACCGATAAAGATATACAATCACTTGATCTTGAATAAACAAAAAATATCATCTGAATGTGAAAGGGACACATATCGTCTACTTTCATAGAGTGCTATTAAAAGTATCTATCTATATGTAATTATTCACTATATAATTATTTATATATTTGTGGGTACACTGTGACATCCGTGGTTTATCAAAGAAATAATATCTATTTAGTTCAAGGGGATTATTAAAAATGATAATTATCTTGAATAATTTTTTTAAGTCGTGTGATTTACAGTTTCTGGAGGTCTTAATCCATTATGCAAAGTTTTCTACTTATTCAACTTATGGAAAAAGTGATTTAAAATACCAAATTGTATGTATATATTTGGGAAAAAAGACAAAAGACACCACTGCTTTCAGATAATGATAATAAAATCCATTCCGACAAGCATTGGTAATTTTATCTCACAAAGAAAAATCAGAAACTAGTGGAACCTATGTTACAGTTTTCTCTTTAAAGAACCATAAAATTGACATTCTGACCTATTTGTTATCTGGTGTCAAATAACTACACAATTAACGACAATATTGCTGTGAATTGAATGAAATCAATTTCGTTTTCGTTCGGAAAGTTTGGCATGTGTCAAAGAACGCGGCGCAGAAATAACGACTTAAAACAAATAGTTGAAATATCAGTAGCAATATCAAATGACTGTTTTAGCAAAACCTTCTCGGAAGTTGTGTGACTTTGCGACTTAAAAAATAGCAAAATGGTGATCTACGCTTTGAAAAAAGAAGATGAAACTATGGAACGGTTATCAGTAGTCGATTTTATTTTGTTATTTTAGAATCCGATTGTATCATTTTGAAAATCTTCTTTCTGGAAATATTAACAAACATGATGATCTTGTATGGTGGAACAGATGTGATATTTGTGCGTTTTTATTTATCTCGTGCGCACGAGATAGTATGTCGTGGCCACGAGTTTCTAAGTTGTGTAAATTAAGTTCGAACAATCGCGTTGTATACTCGTATACTAGTACCTTATTAAAATGTTTTGTGAAACAATCACTTTTGTTATTGTGCACTTAAACATGCTCACTATGTTCGTATTTAACAATTCCTAATTGATTGTATTTTACTGGACGTTGAAAGATTCCGTTGTCGCAATTATTCTTATGTGTAGGTGTAGACAATGTCGGTCATATCAGAACAAGAACGCGGGTGACGGAAGGAAAGATTTGTCAAATAACAAACGAAATGAAAATTCATTTACCAGACAGATAGCAATGTCATTGTATCTTTGGAGAAAAACAAACAACAACAAAAAACGTTGATTGGCACGACTTTGTTTTCTTAGTATAAATATAAATGTAGCTGAACAGACGGGTTTCCTCTATGTTAATTGTTCATATATATGTGAATTTGACAAATCAAGTTTTACATAAACTACATTTTCTTGGAGCAGATTTGACATCAATAAATATCTTGGCACAATACCATGTCTGTAAAGAACCGTCACGTAGATAGTACATGTTATACAAATGTCCCCACAATTTTTACAAAAATTTCTGTAATTTAACAATCCAGCCTTTAGTATTTATCTAAAATTGCCAAAAAAATTCAAGGAAATCATTAGTTAAACCTATAGTCACTCTTTTTAAATCACACTTGCTGTCTAGTGTCAATTTGTTCTATATATTTGCACCTATGACCCTGAAGCAATATACATGTATACTTAAGTTAGTCTTTGCAGCATACGTCGTTAGTGTCCATATCGAACATTTAAAGGAAAAACGATTTTCAAAGTTTACTGAAGTAATATATAAACAATGATCTAAGTATACTTAGGTTATATATGTATTTAAGGGCAAGTGTCATTAATCACTATGCCGATAAGGATAAAATGCTTGAGCATAATTTTTTTAGAAAAATCTTCTTTGATATAAAAGAGATTTCCAAGGAAAAGTTGCTGATTTCGAACAAATTTATGCGCATAAATAGGTAAAACTTTATTTAGCAATTAATATATTTTCTTTTCAATCAAAAATAAATTCG